GAGACTAAACTGGTGGCTTCTGTCCGGAGGTGAGAGGGGAAGGCAGAGAGGGTCAGGAGCTGGTTGAATGGACACGGGAAATCGGGGGTGGAAAAGAGGAGTGTGCTGTCACAGTATAGGGAGAGCAATTAGGGTCACATGACAATATGTATCAATTTTTTATAAGAGACTAACTTGAAATGTAAACTTGCACTTAAACTACAACAATAAACAACAAAAAAAAGATACAGCCTAATCCTGTAGATTGTGTCCTGCCTCATTAATAAACTGCCTCTAATCCTGCCTCAGAGCCCTGGTGGCACGGTGGTTGAGCGCTCGGCTGCTAATCAAGAGGTCGTCGGCAGTTCGAATTCACCAGCCACTCCTTGGAAGCCCTATGGGGTAGTTCTCCTCTGCCCTATATGGTCGCTATGAGTCAGAATCAACTCAACAGCAACAGGAATCCTGCCTCATTAACATCATCGAGTTTAGTATTTATAACACATAGGATAATTATGTCAGATCACAAAATGGAGGACAACCACACAATACTGGGAATCATGGCCTGGCCAAGTTGATATATATTTTGGAGGGACACGATTGACTCCAGGACACCCCCCAAGAAACCTCCTTTCTTCTCCAGGGCCCATTTCCATTTGGGTCACTACAGATGGGAATGTCCTCAGGCCTGGGACTTGTCTTGCCCCCACAGTGACCTTGTTTGTTGGCCTGACTTCCTTCAGGGTGTTGGTAGTGCAGACTGTCCTCGAACCTCTGTGAAGGAGTCTCTTCTGTACCAACCTCCCCCCACCCCTTGGCCCAACTGAGCGTCATCCCTGAGCGCTGCCGGGTGGCTCCAGGGCTTCTTGGCACAGCCAGTTTCCCTGAGGGGTTCTGTTGGTTCCTGGAGGTTGTTGACCTTGACGTTGTATTGAGCCTGTCCTCTCACTGGACCAGAGTGTCAGCGGTCACCCACCACCCCCACCTCCCTGCCAAATGTCAAACTCAAATGGGTAGAGGGTTCAGAAGCTGTTGGGAAGAGCTGGGATGATGATTATCCTTTCTGTGGTAAATTACAGTTTGAAAGAGCTGAGGGCTCAGTGTGGGGAGGGTGTGGGTGCTGAGAGAGGCCTAGGACAGCTGGAAAGTGAGAGCAGGCACTCCAGCTATTTTAAACTATTTGACCTAAGTATCACGTGCAACAGGGAGAATTATAATCTCCCAGCTCTCCCCAAGTACTCTGCACCCTCTGCCCATTTGACCTTGACCTTGGGTGGTGGGGGTGGAGGTGACCGCTGACATTCTCTGAGCCTGGGATTGTCATCTCCTGTGGGCGAGCGGCGGAGCAGGAGGGAAATGACTCAGCCCTGGTATGCCTGCCCCACCTCTCGGATTTATCCAAACAACCTTAAATATTTTAACTCAGTTGTCATTTTACATTAATAAACAAAAAACAAGCCACAGTCTGTTTTAGGACATGGATCTTAAACGTTGGAAAACATGGGTCTCATCACCAAGCTGGGGGCCCCCTGGGGAACCCCACTTCTGGAGCCTTTCAAGGTTCATGACTCCCCATTATAGGCAGTGGCAGGAGGAAGGTTGGGTGGGCTCAGTGTGTCCTGGAACTCGGGTGTCTGCTTTGGGGAGGTATGCAACACCAGATCCAAGGCCCCCCGATTCTGCTCCGGGCACGACCACAGTCCCAGGCTGCCCGGATCTGGACAGGGCGGTGCCAGCTCTGTCAACTGCGCTGCAGATCCAGAGGGGAGTAAAGGGCAGGCTCAACTGCCCCCTGCCGGCCGCAGCCAGATCAGCAACCTGCGGACAGTGCCCCTGGCCGCCTACCTCCCCACTCCCGCCCAAACACCCAGAGCGGCTGGTACCTCAGTGGGGACAAGAAGAGTGGGCCAACCAAGGGGCACGGAACCTGCGGCTTAAAACTGCAGTCCTGAGCCCCAGGCCTGGCCCCCGTTTTTGGTGACGTTGGATGAATCCACCTTTTATAAAATGCGGGGCTCATTTAGACAGGGAGAAAGTGCCCAGGCAGCTCCAAAGCATCTTTTGGGACCAGGGAGGAGAGGCGGGCCGGTGACATGAGAGTCTGTCCCGAAGCTCAGGGGCGTCACAGCCAAGCTTTGGTTGAGCTCTCCCCACCCTGCTCCCACACCCTCTCACTTTGCTCCATTTACGCCATTCTACTGAGCCAGTCAGGCCTCCTCCTCCAGGAAGCCTTCCTTGATCACTGCTCACCCTCCCTGTCTGTTGCCTCTTTGTCTCCTATTGAGCGTGGCCAGACTTTTATCATACGCCAGCTTATCTGTCAGAGGATGGTGTGTGTGCAAACTGGTTCCTTTCTCGGTCATTTGTGCTTTCCGTCCCATGTCCCCTGAAAAGCTGACTAGACTCTGAGCACGTTCACCCCAGCCCTCTCATTCCCGATTCTGATGGTGTCCCCTGAGCCTTTGTCTTTTCAGACTGTATGAAGCTTCCTCAGTGGCCCTCTTGTATCTCTTCCAAATCCAGCAGGGCTCTGGCCTTGCTGCGGCCCCTTGATGTGCTGGGCCAGGCCTCGAAGCAGAAGCCTTTCTCCTGCTGGCCTGAGCTGGCCTCCTGGCAGGCTGTGGGGTGGCAGGAGCAGCCCGGGCCCAGCAAGCCCAGGGTTGGGAAGGCTGCACCTTGGCATGTCCAGATGCTCACTCTGTGTGGTGGAGGGTGATGGGATGGCTCATGCTGACTGTCCGGTTGGAGTGTCTGGGGCTGTGAGATCTCGTCACACTGCACAGACCTCCAGGGGTGGGCCTGGTCTGGCCTCTTCTGAACCCAGGCCTCTGAAGTCAGGTACCAGGCTGCATGTGCCAGGTGGCAGGGGGGCAAGCCCCTCCTGTTTCTCCAGGATACCCACAGGCACCTGTATTTTAATATAACCACCTCTGATGCATTAAAAAGCCCCAAAGAAGACTAAGGCAGTACACCGGCAGGGACGGAGGACACCTGGGAAGGACCTCTAGGACACACAGGAGCCAGTGAGTGAGCTGCCAACCACATACAGACGCAGCCTGGCAGGCTGCAGCAGCTTTCACATCTGTCGCCTATGTTACTCACAACCTCGGGGAACAGGGGTGACCATCCCCACTTCTCAGATGGAAGGAGCGGGACTCAGAGCTAACTTCTGGCTCCACAGTGGCAGAGAAGGGGCCTTCGGGGCCTCAGAAGGGGCTTAGAAAAGGGCAGGGCCCTGATACTGGAACCTCCTCAGATCCCAGGTGAATTGCCTCAGGCCCGGGGAGTGTCTGTGTGGGGAGGAAATACAGGAAAGGGAGTACTGGGGTGAGATGGGAGAGGGACCTAGAAGGCCCCAGTGGCTGGTTGGAGGCCCAGGGAACTGGCAGGGTGAGGGTGGGTGGAAGGGACGGGAACGGGGTGGACTGGAGTTTATGTTGCTTCCTCCCTGTCTGGGAAGTCAGTTGCTGGCCACATGCTCTGAGCCTGGGGTTGGGCTGGTGCTGTTTCACAGAGGGGGGGTGCCTCGGGGTCCCCATATGTGTGGAAGAGTGGGGAGAAGACCCAGAAGCCGACTCTAAGGGGATGCAGAGCTGGGCTCCCCCACGGGGATGTGGGTCCCGGTCGGACTCCGTCTCCCCAGCCCCTTCTTTGGCTATCTCAAGAGTGCCTGGAATTTGGTCGCGGACTCCAGCGCCCTCAGAATCCTGAGAAGCCTCCCCTGAGAGCCCTCCTTCCCCTCGCAGCCCACCAGGGGTCACTAGTTCCTCACCCTGCCTGCACCTGGAGCACCTGGTGGGGAAGACACACAGGCTGAGCAGTGAAGGCTGAACTGGGCCCAGGAGGACAAGGGGTGCACACTGAGGTGGTCTGGAGGTGGGGACTGGCAGTGGCCCAGGGGGAGCCCAGGCGGGAGCTGTGGGGAAGGACCAGCCTGGGCCAGAGGTTCCAGACGGCCCTGGAAGGGGGGAAGGCCTGAGTCAGCCCTGAGTCTTTGAATGTCATGCACCTGTCCCCGCTCACCTGGCCACTGGGCCTCAGTGCCTGGTGCTCAGCTGGAAAAGGGAAGGAAATGGATTCTCCCCGAGAACCTCCTGAAAGGCATGCAGCCCTGCTGACACCTTATTTGTAGCCCAGTAAGACCGTGCCACAACTCTGACCTGGAGAGAGATGGTAATAAACCTGTGTTGTTATAATCCACTGTTTGTGTTAATTTGTTACAGCAGCGATAGGACACTCATCAGATGGCATGGCCTGGGTTGGAGGAAGGGCTTCTGGGCTGCCAGGACTCATACTGTTGGGGCTCCCTCACTCCAGCAGGGAGAGGGGGTGTGTGTAGCATCAGCAGGCCCCAGCCTCTCATGTGGCCTCTGTTGGCCCCCTAGCTTTCCAGGCACTGATTTTAGAGATGATGAAAATAGCTACCACCTATTAAGTGCTTACTGTAAACCCCAACAACCCTACATGTAGGTATTATTATACCCATCTTAAAGGTCAAGAAACCGAGCGAGGCACTAGGCCACGAGGTCAGTTAAGTGCCCAGGATCCTGGGACCAGAGGACGAGGCACCGCTCATCGCCCTGGATGCCCAGGCAGGCCTGTTCCCAGAACCACCTGCTGCAGGGACGTGGACTTTGCTCATCCATCTCTGGCAACTCTCACAATGGCCAAGTGCTGCAGTTATCACTGCTCCCACCACTTCCTGCAGGCCCACAGTGCTCAGGAGGTGGGTCTGACACTCATTTCTCCTAAACAGGCAACAGGATCTGTGGGAGCAACCTGCCTCACAGCCAGGCCCAGTGCCCAGGAGCCCCAGACCTCCTGGGCCCTCCCGGCTCCCCCCGTGGGAGCCACGGGCCAAGGAGCTACAGAGGGACCCGGATGGTGCTCTTGGGCCCAACCCTCAGGTATGAGAAGGACAGATACTGGCTGAGTCATCTACAGGCCAGGGCGGGGGTGGCGGTGGTTCCCGAGGGGTCACAGGCTCCAGCTGGGTCTGCCATCAGCTCCTGGCTCCCCGTCTCCCTGCAGAGCACCCCCCTTAGTTCCCACCAGGAACCCAAAACCCCTCTCATACCCTCAGCCTTGTAGCCTCTAACAAACCAAACCATCTGGATGAGAAAACTCGACTCGGGCCCATGAGAGTGGGGCTCAGAGCACCCCAGGGCTCCTACTCAATGCAGAGCTAAACAGAAACTAACAACCAGGCTGTAGTGAGCCCACCTCATTATTTCAGATCGGAAACCATCCAGGGTTTGCTGGAAACAGATTTTATTATGAATAAATCACGATACAGACGAATGAGACTACTCAACAGCGTTTAGTAAAATCCTGCTTTGTCCCAAAGGGCGGGCAGAAAAGGTTAAGGCACAAAGGATGGTTAGAAAACAGGAGACACGGGCCGCACAGTAAAAACCCGTCATCCCGTCATCTGCGTACACATGTGCAAACACACACACACATACCCCACACCCTGTCCTGCCCATCAGATAAGAGATTCGCCTGGAATCAAAACAGTAGGACTGAGATGACAGAGCTGGGAGCCGGCGGGCTAGGGGCCCCAGGAGAACTAGGCTGGGCAGCTGTCCGTAGGTCAAACGTCTCTAAGAGAGAAGATATGATGTGGCAACTAGCCTCTGCCCCTTGGCCAGGACATTCCAAACAGCTGGGGACACCTCACCAGCCTCTCCTTTCCACTGATTTGGCATGACAAACAACGAAGTCCCTGCTGTGGGAGGCAAGCCCGCCTGGAATGTTCCCATCATAGACAGAAGAAGGTGCTAATGGGCTCTTAGACTTGTAGGAGTGCCCGCTGGCCCCGTTTCCTCTCCCACAGTAGTTTGCCATTGAGAAGGGATAACAAAGTAAAGCCCTGTGCTGACCTGGGCCTTGCCTCCTTCTGGCGGGAAGCACCTGGGAGCCGCCAGTGGGGCAGTACTCACCTCAGTGCCGGCTAGGAAAGCGCTCCTCGCAGCATCAGCTCATCGGGGAAGACCCAGAGCCAGTGTGGCCAGGAAGACAAACATGAGGAAAAGAAAAGCCAAGCACCCACAGCAAACCTCCTTTTATAATGTAGTTAAGATGAGATGGTCTCTGGTCACCGGGACATCCGATACATCCGATACACAGCTGGCTCAGGCCTCAGGCCAGACGGAAAGGCTGGCTGGAAATCCCCGGCGCCATCTTTGAAGACAAGCCAGGGCCTCTGAGATAAACAAGGGCCATTTTCTTGAGAGGCCCCAGAGCTCACTGGCTTCATCGAATCAAAGCAGACGGGAAAAAAAAAAAAAGCAAGACCCAGAATACGACGGGAGACACGGCGAGCTTGGGTGGTTCGGTGAGGGGAGCCGCTCAGGCCAAAGGGATTTCTGGGAGCTTTCCACAGAGCAGGGAGTGTGGGGCTGGTGGGCTTGTTCCTCTACAGGACAGCCACCCCCCAGCACAGTGACGTCACAAAAGGCTAACAAAAAGGCACTTTCCCTCTGGCTATAGTGTCTCACGCCTGTGAAACCTGAGGCTCTCACCTGAGTTGGGCCCTGACCCCTCCAACCAGTCCCAGCAGAGTGCCCCCAGCGCAGGAGATGCAGGGACCCCAGCGTGCCTGGGGCCATGGCTGCAATAACCAGTCCAACTAGGGAGGGTGCGGAGGGGCCCTCATCATCTCATTTTCTGCCGGGGTTCATGTAAGGGAGGCCCCTCCTCTGCCCCCTAGAGAATAGCCCAGCCTGGCAGCAGGGGGTGGAATGCCAGCAGAAGGAATGTGGGGACGTGTCACCAAAGTTCAGGGGAAAGACCAAAGGCACAGACCAGACCTGCAGGTCCCAAGTCCTATCCTCGGCCACCTGTCACCAGAGATGCCACCAGGTGAGACAGCAGGAGACACTGTCCATATTGAGAGGGGCACAAAGGAGGTCTCTGAGTGGAAAGGGTGGTTGGGCCCGGAGTCCAGAGGAAGGAGGGAGGCTATACAAGGGGCCGAGGGGAGACTCACTTGCTGGCTCTGCAGGCCCCAGTATCGTCCCCGGCCCAGAAGTCCCTGCTCCATGGTCTGAAACACCTGCAGACCCTGAGCAACACGGGTGCCCCCCATGCATGCACACCTTCGGGGACTAACTCAGCCCACGTGTCCCCGAGGGAGGACAGGGCAGGGCCAGGTCTCAGGGGCCTCCACACGCCCTCCTCTGCTTGAGCTGCCGCCCTCAGCCCTGCTCCAGGCTGTCGTTGGGCTGCACCACGCTGTAGCTCCCCTGGCTCATGGAGAGCTGCCGGCTGAAGAAGGATGTGGTGCGCTTTGGCTTCACTCGCTTGATCTCCTTGCCTGTGAGGGAACAAGAGAAACACTCTGAGAAGCGGCTTTCCCTGAGGTGAGGGGGCCTGGGCTCTGGGCAGCCTGGGTTCTGGCTTCAGTGGCACGGCTCCTTCCAGTGCCCACTCATCTGAGCGTCCCCCTTTCATCCCTGCTGTTTTACTGAGCCTCAGTCCCCCTCCCAACACTGTGCCCCCAGTGACAACATGGATGGGCCTGTGGCCAACCTCAGAAATCAGGGGAAACATGCTTGAGTGCGATGCAAGGCTGGCTGTGAGGTCTGAGGAGCTTTTGCTAAAATTTACTTAAGAACAGACCAAGGAAACAAAATACCTGCAGCAACTATAAGTGGCTGAAGGAGAGCCTCGTTAAGATAAAAAGACGCTTACAAGTTAAAAACGTCAAGCCAAGTAATGAAGGTCAACATCAGCAGCGGTATGTCATGTTGATGGTATGTACTCTGGTCTTCCTCCCAAAACCCCTAACCCCAGTCTAATCATGGGAAAGATGTCAGACAAATCCCGACTGTGGCATCCTACAATACACCTGACCAGTCCTCTTCAAAACTGTCAAGGTCATCAAAAACAAGGAAAGTCTGAGAAACTGTCACAGCCCAGAGAACACTACGGAGACATGACAACTAAATGTGATGTGATGTCCTGGGTGGGATCCTGGAACAGAAACGGGACACTAGCGAAAAACTAAGGAAATATAAACTATGGTCTTTAGTTAACAATAATACATGTTGGTGCACTGATTGAATAAATGTAGCATACTAATGTAACATGTTAATTAAAAAAAATCTAAACAAAAGAAAAATAGGCAAAAACATGAACAGCAATTTATAAAGGAAATATAAATGATAAAGCACATAAAAATGTTCCAACTTCACTAGTCTTCAAATGCCAACCGAAACACTTCTCTCTCTTAGAATAACACCCATCGTGGCTGAGGAAGGCAGGCACCAGTTTTCATCAAGTTGGTTTCAACTCATGACCCCATATGTGTCAGAGGAGAACTGGGCTCCATAGGGTTTCCAAGGGCTTATTTTTCTGAAGTAGATTGCCAGGCCTTTCTTCTAACATGTCTCTGGGGTGGACTCGAACTTCCAACCTTTCGGTTAGTAGCTGAGCGTGTTAACTATTGGCACTGCCCAGGACTCTAGAAGACAGATATAAGTCAGCAAAACCATTCTTGACGGTGATAAATAGCAAAAGCCTTGAAGCGTGCACACACTTCGATCTAGGAACTCCATTTCTAGGAATTCACCTGGAGGAAACAGCTCAGATTCCAGCAAAGGATTTAGCTCCGGGTATGGTGTTCGTAATAGCTGAAAACTAAATGAGCTGCAACGTCCAATACGAAGGGAGCGGGGGAAAATGACTACTACACCCACGTTACAGATATCATGTGAGAATACTACCACAGTGGTTAAAGACTACGTTATAAAAAGTTATTTTTTTATGATTATGAAAATGACATGGTCATTGCAACACATCTAAATGCTACAAAGGAGTACAAAGAAAAAATTAAAAGAGTCACAGCAACTGATCACGATTGTGGTCTCGCCCTCCTTACACACAGTTTTACACATTACACATACTGTTCTGTTACCGGGTTTTTTCAATTCAGCATTAGTTTGTGAGCATCATGCCATGTAGATGTAGACCTTTGTTATCACATAAAAAACAAACGTATTTTGCAATAATTCTAGATTTGCAGAAAAGTGGCGAAGGTAGTACATCGAGTTCCCACGTACCCCTCCTCAAACCAAACCAAACCCATTGCCGTCGACCCGTAGCGACCCTACAGGACAGAGTAAAACTACCCCATAGGGTTTCCAAGGAATGCCTGGTGGATTTGAACTGCCGACCTTTTTTGGTTAGCAGCTGAGCTCTTAACCGCTGGGCCACCAGGGCTCCTACCCTTCTCCAGCTCTCCCTCATGTTAATACCTTACATTACCTGATACGTTTGTCAAAACTAAGAAACTAACATTGGTATGATCTTATTAACTAAACTATGGACTTGAATTTCATGTTTTCCCGCTATCATCCTTTGTCTGTTCCACGTTCCAATCCAAGGTACCACACTGCATTTTCCAGTTGCTGTTGAGTTAACTCCAATTCATGGCAACCCCATGTGTCAGAGTAGAACTGCACGCCACAGGGTTTTCAATAGCTGATTTTTTTGGAAGTAGACTGCCAGGTCTTTCTTCCATGGCACCTCTTGGTGGGCTCACACCTCCGACCTTTTGGTTAGCACCTGAGTGCGTTAGCCGATTGCACCACATGGCATTTAGGGCCTCACACTATTACCAGCTGTGCTGAATTCCACAGGACGTGGCTCCATGATCTGTTTGCCCACTCCTTTATTAACAGATGTCAGGTGGTCTCTTGTTTTCCACCATTCTGGACGACGCTGCTGTGAGCACGCTTGGGGATACAGCAGTGAAAAGGCACAAGAAGGGCTGTTACAGCGTGCACGCAGGGCCTCCAATCACAGCGCCCAGAGCTCAGCCCTCTCTTCTCTCAGCCAGGATCCTGCAGGGTGGAGGCTAACGCACCCTGTGCCTGGAACGGTTCTGCTCTTCCCTCCCCTCCAGAGTTCCCCATGGTGAGTGTGCGTTTACACAAAGGGTTGCTCACCATCGTCCACGTAGTCAATGGTGGAGAGATGCTGGATCCGGCTGCACACCACGCTGCCTTGCCGCCGTAGCTTGGGCCGCTGTGTGGGAGGTGGCAAGGAGCCTGGGGCCGAGGTGGGGCCAGACCCGCTGTCCTGGGGGGCGGCAGGCTCCACAGCCTGATTCAGCTCGATGCAGTACTCAATGAGGCCACTCATCAGTTCGGCCTGGGAAGGAGAAACGGGCCTGCATGAGGCCTGATGGGTGGGCAGGCCTAGGCCTAGCCATTCCATACCCGCTGCTGAGTGGCGTGAGCCAGCCACAGGCAGCCCTGTCCTCTGAGGGGCGGTAGTGTGGAAACAAACACCATTCACCCAAGGAAGCAAGAGAAGGAGAGTATACCAGACATGAGGCTCTGAAGTGTCTGGAAACCTGAGGTGGTGGTGAGAGGAGGAGCCCTGTTTTCCAAGGAGTTTGGAGACAGGAGAGAGGAGAGGAGGAACAGCCCCCCGAGCGAGGTCGAGGGGCCTCTGGTGGGAGGGGATTGCCTCCTCTCCTGAGACCAGAGTCGGGGAAGAGGAGGGACATGGAGATGAGGTGGGCCGATGAGGCGCTGAATACAATGTGCTGAGTGAACACATGAGAGAAACAGAGGAACCGAGGCCTTGTGCCTTCTCTGCCTGCTCTTCATCTGGAGGGCGGGACAGCAACAGCCCCAGGCTCACAGGGGCTTCGAGCACGGAGAATTTGGTGCCGGAACAGCCCGAACGCTGGGCAAACCCTCAGTGGACAACCACTCCAACTGCAGCTGCCACTACCACTGCCCCCTGGTACGGAGCCTCCAGACCAGGCCTTCACACTGGCCCAGGAAGCCCCAAGTTAGCAGGCAGTCAGGCTCCCGTCCTCCCTCTCCTTGCCCCCTCACTCCCTCCCAGCGGCTGAGGGCCAGCGGCCTGGTGCCTCCATGGTCAGTTTGCCCTGATGGGGGCCCTGAGCCCCTGCCCACTACCTGCTTGGAGTAGATCTTGAGGAGCTTGTTGACGGGCATGCCCTCGCTCTCCCCGTCAAACTCCAGCCACAGCACGGGCTCCTCCTCCTCCTCGAGGGAGGTGTGGTCCCACGACAGCTCCTGGAAGCGCAGGCCCAGCAGGACATGCTGGGGGGGCAGAGTTGAGGCTTGGACTCTGGTGAACGGAGACCTGTCCCCCACCCCACCTGGCTGCCACCAGGGTAAACACTTGACCAAGGTGTTCACCTCCATGATGGAGTCTAGGCCCATTCGTGCCTTTCTCTAAGGAGAGGATCCCAGCTTTCCTCAGGGACAGGGCTGTGACCTAGGGAGGCAGGAAAGCCTACCCCACACCGCTCACCAGCGGAGCACGCCCCTTACAGGTGAGAAAGTCACATGGAGGAGAGGAGGTAGGTGGGGAGGGGACCTTTCCCAGAGATAAGCTGGGCCCGGCATGCAGGGCAGAATCTCTCTCTGGGGACAAGCAGAGTTGACCAAAACCCCTCCTGGCTTACGAGGGAACTCTGGCTGAGGTGCAGAGAAGCTGCTATCCCGGCAGCTGGAAGCAGAGCCAGCCGCCCAATGCCAGGACAGGGAGAAGCAGGACCTGGCCGGCCGAGAGCTTGGGTGGCCCAACAGGAGTCCCAGTCCTGGGGCCTTTCTAGAAAACCACCAGACGGTCTCTAGGCTGAACAGCCAGGCCCTGGGAGTCTCTTTCCACTCAGAGCGGAAACCCCAGCTGCAGCCTCGCCCCACCCCCGTCAGCACACTGGGTAAAAGAGCTGATCTCAGAGCAGAGCCAAGGAAGCCTCCAGATTACAGCATTTCCTTCCTGGACAGTCCACCCACTCATGCCCCCAGGGCCAACCACAGGCCCTTCCTCTCACGAAGGGCCTCCTAGGCCCCATCCTGAGGGAGACAGGTGGTACCTTCTCCCGGCTGTCGATGACATGCACGCCCTCCAGACTGATGGCCAGAGTCACTGGCTTGCGCCCACCCCGGTGCAAGAAGCTCTGGGCCGGCTTGTCAATCTCGCCATGGAAAAAGGCACACCTGGGGAGGGAACCTGGTGTCAGCCCCACCCGCCAGCACCAAAAACAAATGATCCAAAGGGTCCTGACTCAGCTCCACCCAGAAGGCCTGCTCTGGGCCAGGCTCTCCCAGGCCCCCGAGAAGCCCAGATTGCTTGGGGGACTTAGAGTTTGTCCACAGGGCACAGACCCTCTGGGAAGCAGGGGCAGCACCAAGGCTGGGCCTGCCTGGGAAACATGAGGTGGCTTTGGGGCTGCCCAGGGAGCAGCTCCGGGGCTGGAGAAAGACCAGGAATGATGCAGTGACCTGGGATGCCAACCCACCCACCGTGCCACCTTTCCTGTACCTCCTGCCCCTGCCATCTCCTCTATCCCTCCTCGAACTCCAGTCAATCACTGTACCACCCCTCCCGCTCACATCCTCACCCCTGGCTAAGCGAGAACCAGAGGTAGATCCCGCATCTCCATCCAATGTTTGGCGATGGTTCTCTAGTTCAGAGTCAAACCCAAAGTCCTCACGGAGGCCCACAGATCCCTATCAAATCTGGCCCCGTCACCTCCAGCTCCACCCCTCCCAGCTCTCCCCTTGGCTCGCTCTGCTCTGGACACGGCCGGACGTCCACACCGTGCGGCAGCTGTCCCTTCTGCCTGAATGCTTTCCCCCATGTGCTCACCTCTCACCCCTTACCTTCAACTCTCTGCTCCAATGTCACCTTCCAATGACACCTACTCTGACTACACCACTGAAAACTGTGCCGTCTCCCCCACATCTGCCCGACTCTGCTCCGCTTTTTTCCACACCACCGGCCACCTGCTGAGATGGCGTGGAGCTTACTCATTCTCTCCACCGCCTACTGTCTCTCTCTCCGCTACAACGGCTGCTTTTCTAGGGCGGGGATCAGGACTCCTTGGCTCACGGAGGCATCCCAAGTGCCTAGACAGCTGCCAGACACACAGTAGGTGCCAAGAGCTCGGTGTTAAGTGGTAACTGCATGGGTGAGAGCTGGCCGGAGGAAAGGCCCCCAGGCCCAGTGACCCAGTGACTATGGCAGGCGGAAGGAGAGGGCTCATCAGAGGTGTCCCGGCCTGAGAGGAGAGGCGGCTGGGTGCTCAGCTTCGGGCCTGAGGTGGTGGGGCCAAAGCAGCGCCTCACATGAAGGCTGGAGCTCAGCTGGAGTTAGTGACGGCCAAAGACAGACTGCTGGGCTGACGGGGACAGAAAGGAGCCCACGGCTGAGGCCCCCCACGACGAGGAAGGGTGGCTTGGTGTTGATGGGTGAGGCCCGGTGCTGGTGGGTGGGCCCGGGCTGCTCACCCGTAGAAGGGCAGCTCATGGCACTTGAAGAGGTAGGCGCGATAGTGGGTGCTCAGGAGGTGCTCGTGCTCACTGTCGCTGCCGACCACTTCTTTCACCCCACGGTAGGCGTTGAGCAGGCCCTGCTCGCCGGTTCCAGCCTTGGTCCCACGGCCCCGGAGGGCGGCAAAGAGGCCGTGGCCCCGCTTACAGAGATGAGCGGGGAGGAAGGAGTCTAGCTTCTCCCTGAGGAGGAAGGAAGATGGATGCTCAGCATGAGGAGGAGCAATCAGGGCTGGCACCTGGCTGGAGGTGCCGGGGGCCTCAGGGGTGGGTGTCACGCCCGCAGGTGAGGGCAGTGCCACAAACAGGGTGGGCAAGCAGACCCGCAGGGCAGGAGCACAACCCTTCCCCGCCCAGTGGGGATCCCGAGGGCCCTGCCTGCCCTGACCACAGAGACCCCCAATGCTGTAGTCCCAGTTTCGCCTGGTATTCTGGGAGGGGTGTGGACTGGAGAGCTGGACAGAGGAAGGGGATGTACAAGCTGCTTCCAGGCCAGAGACCGGGTAAGGGGCCTGAGAGGGGAGGCACAGGCACCAGGACAAAGAGACGAGGTTCAGATCCCAGCCTCTCGCCTGAGGACAGGCTCTAGAGCCCAGGTGCCTGTCTGCAACACAGCTCGCCCTATGACCTGACTGGGCCAGTTTCCCCATCTGTAAAGTGGCGGGGGAGCAGGGTAACATCCCCCACTACCTGCCCAGGATGACAATTACCATCAGCCTCAAGCAAGACGACACTCTTCAAGAGCAGACCCAGGAGGCCCAACAATGATGGCCCAGCTGGCCCCGCTCCCTGCCTGCTCACACAGTCTGGCCAGCCCTGTCGCTTCTCAACCAGCCTGGGATCACTGTTAAAGTGTTCCCTCACCCTGCTCCTCCTGCTGCTTCAGTCGCCCTGCCTGGGGTCTACAGCACCCTCCTTCATCTCTCCAGCTCCTCTGGAACCCTGACCCTACCTTCATCATCAGCCCCCCCACCCGCTCACCAGTCCTGCCGCAGCTGATGGCACCCCCCATACACGGAGCGCCCACAAGGCCTGGCCCTGCCTCCCTCCCGGCCAGCGTCCATTTGTCCACCCAGGACACCACCGGAGTGCCTCCTCTGAGGTGCCAGAGGGGACAGGCACAGGCAACCACTCGGCAAAGGGCACAGCTTCTCGGGAGGGTGGGAGCGGGCAGTGGCGGGCCAGAGGGTCTGGGGAAGGGCCCATGCCCCAGAGCCCTGCACTGAGCCCGACTATCACTGGGGACTGGCGGTCACTATGGTCGGTCCCCTGGCTGGGGCCCCAAAGAACAATCCCAGGCCCCTCCTGATCCCCGATCAGAGCCTGGGCTCCACCCTCTGCCACATCCAGAGCTCCCAGGCTACAGACTCCGCTCACCAACACTTTACCCAAGTCTCCCCACTGCTCAGGACCGTCAGCCCAGAGAGGGGCAGTGAGGCCCCAAGGCCACACAACGCGCATCAGGGCCCATGCTGGATCAGGGCTCCTGCCTCCAGGACTGGGCCCCCACCCCTCACCCCACCTGGCATCCAGCGATGAGTCCCCCACCTGGGCCGCACTGCCCCTCACCTCAGGGTGCAGGCAGCAGGGTGGCCGGGCTGGTAGGGCCCAAGCTGCACACGGCACACCAGGGCACCCAGAGCCTCACAGTCCTCTATGTCACACGGGTACCTCGCGCTCAGCACGTTGCCCTTGGCCTCCTCATAAAGCAGCCGCAGAACGTCCTCGTCGCGGATCTGAGGGCCGGGCGGGGGGCTGCTCAGCTGGGCCAGGCCAGGCACCAGTGGGCAGGGGTAAGGGGTGCTGGGCACAGACACCAGACCCGGGGGGTACTGCTCGCGCCTCACCTGCAGCTCCCGCCACTTGGGGAAAAACACGTTCCTTCGGAACTGCAGGGAAGGCTCATCTGGGGAGAGAGACTGGGTCACCACCTGGGACCCCACTCAGCCGGCCCTGCCCGCTCCCCTGACTGGTCCCAACTCTCGCCCTTCACAGCCCCTCCCAGCCCACACCCCGTCCCCCTGCCAGGAGTGGCTACTGGGGCCCAGGGGAGATGCCGGCCCTGTCCTCTGCCAGGGCAGCCCCCACCACTGCAACATCAGCAGGGGCCTGGTCTCGCTGGGAGTCAGTGTTTCAGACTCAGGACCGACCACCTCAGGGGGGACCTGAAGCAGGGATGGCTGGTGGCGGCACTGACCCATGGCCACGTCTTCGTCCGGGGCATCGGTGAAACGCAGCAGCAGCTCCGGCCACTGGCGGCCCAGCTTGTAGGGCTGGTGCTTGGGCTTCAGCTGTACCTCTGCAGGATGAGAGGAACAGTGGCCCATGCAGCCTTGGACCAGCCCTCCCACCGCCCCCAGTGACCGCCACGAACGACAGCAACAGTAACAGCAGTCACAGTCAGCATTTACTGAGCAGATACCAGGTACCCAGACCAGTTCAAGTGGTTTACGTGCATTTATCCCACAGTAACTCCCACTTTACCACAGAAAAAGTGCGGCTCAGGGGTTAAGCTGCTTGTCCAAAGTCACACAGCAGTCATGGAAGCTTCAAAGACACATCCAAACTCCCTCAGGGACCGAATTACTGGGCTGAGGGCTGAGGACCATGGCCTTGGGAGACATCTAGCTCAACTGGCATAACACAGTTTATAAAGAAAATGTTCTACATCCTACTTTGGTGAGTAGCATCTGGAGTCTTAAATGATTTGTAAGAAGCCATCTAAGATACTACAGTGGTCCCACCCCGTCTGGAGCAAGGGAGGATGAAGAAAACCAAAAACGCAAGGGAAAGATTAGTCCAAACGACTAACAGACCACAACTCCCACAGCCTCCACCAGACTGAGTCCAGCATAGCTAGATGGTGCCCAGCTACCACTACCGACTGCTCTGACAGGGATCACGATAGAGCGTCCCGGATAAAGCTGGAGAAAAATATAAAACAAATTTCTAACTCACAAAAAAAGACCACACTTACTGGTCTGACAGAGACTGAAGAAACCCTAAAAGTATGGCCGCCAGACACCCTTATAGCTCAGTAATGAAATCACTTGAGATTCACCCTTCAGCCAAAGATTAGACAAGCCCATAAAACAAAATGAGACTAAATGGGCACACCAGCCCAGGGCAAGAACAAAAACGCAGGAGGGGACAGGGAAGCTGGTAACGCGGGACCTAAGATCGAGAAAGGGAGTGTTGACACATCATGGGGTTGGCAACCAATGTCACAGGACAACATGTGTATTAATCATTTAATGAGAAACTAATTTGTTCTGTAAATCTTCATCTAAATCACACACACACAAAGAATCCTTTAAGAGCTAAGCAATACTGCAAATAAAGCTGATGAGCCACGTTCAAAAAAAAATTCACACAGCAAGTGCGGGGGGTCTGGCTGCCGGCAGAGCCAACTATGACAGGCTGGGCTGGAGCTGAGAGGCTGTGGCTGACGGAAGATGCTGGGGGTGCTGGTCCAGATGGGCTCAGCACCACTGCTGTTGTTGTGTGCCACTGAGACGACTCTGACTCATGGTGAACCACGTGAGCAGAGCAGAACTGCTCCGTAGGGTTTTCAAGGCTGAGACCTCCCTTTACCTGCACCCCCCACAACTCAGTGTGTCTGAGCATGTCCTGCCAGCCTGATTCCACGGGTCCTGTTCTTTGGGCCACTCCATCCCGTCTGGGCCGAAAGGGCAGCCGCAGCCTCTAGGTTGGCCTTCCCACCTCAGCAGCTGTCTCCCTCTTCCTCCAGGAAGCAACTTCCCCATTAACTCCACCCATGCCCTCCCTTCTTCTGGGGTCCTCAGAGATGGGGGCCTTAGAGATCATCCACTTTGCGGAGGGAAACTGAATGAAGCCAGGGAAGGATAATGACCACCCAAAGCCACAGAGTTAGTGGCTAAAGGGAGGACAAAACTGTCTCATGGACCCTCTCTGAAGTCTGGCCATGAGCTCCCAGCATCCAGATGTGGCCAGCACCAGGAGGCTCTGTGCCCACTTGAGGACTGAGTAACTGGTCACACACTGGGGGGACGGTGGGGCCCCAGGGCAAGGGGCCCCCCCTTCTAGAACCCTCAAGCCCAGCAGCACAGAGGACCCCCAGCATTAGAGCAGCCCCGTGGACTTCCAGATGGGGCTTTCCTGCCCGCCGGCTCTCCCCCAACTGAGACGGATGGGCTTTGGAGCCTAGAGCCCCGTTCTGTGCTGGGACAATGGCACCGAGAATTCCACACCCTCCCAAACACCGAGCCAGAAGGGCATCTCCGCGGGCGATGCCCCCTCCTTTGGTGATCCCTCTCCTGCCTGAGAGGCTCTCAACCCAGGAGCATCTGTCACTGCATCACCGGGGGTACGGGGGCAGGGGAATGGACTCCAGTTCTGAGGGGCCCAAGTTAAAGTGAAGTGGCCTTTCAGCTCCCAAACCCAGCCTGGGAACAAAGTGGGTGTTGGCTTTGTGCTCGGGTCTCTAGACGGACTGGCTGGCAGTGGCGCCCAGGGTGACTGGGCCACACAGGAAGCCCATTCACGCCTCTTGCCAGAGGGGGAGCAGGAATGTGAGGAGGAGGGAGCGCGGGCAGAGGAAGTGGGAGAAGGAACAGGCACTGGGCCTCCTGTTGCCGCTGGCTGCCGGGCAGGGGCGGGCACACACGGGAATGTCACCCCCCAGCTTTCCAAAGACAGAGCCAAGGGGCCAGCAGCCCTGACCAAAGGCCCTGCGGGGGCAGGAGAGGGTCAGCAGGAAAGGGATGGGTGAGAGCTGCAGCAGAGCAGCTGAGCAGGAAGCCCTGGGGGGTAGGCGCTCCTTCTTCCCTGCAGCCAACTCCTCCCTCAGGGTGGAGGCCTTGGGGAGAGGGGGCCATCACCAGGGCCCCTGGGTTTGCCCGTGGTTGTCCTCTCACCCTGTCAATGGGACCAGTTTCCCTTTCTCACTACAATGGAGAACCCCAAAGGTCAGAAAATGCACAGGCGTAGATGGCAGTTCACTTCCTGGAATGACGTGGGCGTCGTCTTCCCCCGGCCCTCTTCCTGACTGAGCAGCGGCTCAGAGGCCCTATTCATCAGGGACCATGGGCCTGGGGGTCTGGAGGGCCACCACCCACGGCTGCTCCACCTTCCCCTTGGGCTCTCAGCCTGAACTGCCTCTGTAGGCCCAGAAGGGCACGACGTGGGTGACCCCTGGGCCAGGAGCCAGGCAGGGCCAGAGGCCCTCTTACAGGAAACTCAGGTCCCTCGGCTTCCTGCCCTCCCCACCCAAGGGAAAAGCCTCATCCTGAGGGGGCTGCTCCCTGGGCCACGCTTCCCCTTCCTCCCAGCCCCTGAAGTCCTTCAGAGCTCTGCACTGCTCACAAAGGCTCCGGCTCTGCTCTGCGTCCTACCACTTGCGCAGCCCACTGCCCCAAACGTCCATGTCCTCATCTGCACACAAGGCTGGGCCACAGGCTGAGGCGAAACTGTGCACGCCAAGATGTGCAGCTCAGAGGAGACACAGATCCCGTCTCAGTGGATGGGGATGCCTCCTGCCCCCTGCCACAGTCCTGTTCCCCGATGCCCCAGGACCCCCACCCAAGGCTGATGGCAGGCTTGGCCCCTCCTCTGTCACCAGCAGAAGGAAAGGAGAGCGGCCAGAGGAGCCAGGAGTCCTCTGTGGGTAGACGGCTCTGGACAGCCCCAGGCCCCGCCTGCCCCCAATATCCAGTGGCTACATATTCTGGACTCCCCCCACCTTCCCAAACTGCTCGCTGCCTCCTAAGCCCTCCTGGCTGGGCTTCTCACTGCCACACCTTACCCAGCAGAGGGGAGACAAGCCAGAGCGCAAAGGCGTCCACGGCGATGTCCGGGAGCTGCAGGACCTCGCGGATTGTGCGGTGCAGCTCGTGGGCACTGAGCGCAGGCAGGTTCTCCAAAGCCAGGGGCACCATTGTGTCATCCGCCAAGTATACCACCACGTCAGCTGCTGTGATGGAGGCCAGGCTGGGTCAGCTGGGGCTCACCCAGGCATCCGCCACCACCCACTGGGGCTGGAGCCCCCACCCTATGCCCCAGGGTGACCAAGGCTCCCTGCCTGAGGCAGAGTCCACTCCAGGGTGGTGCGAACCCCAGCATCCCCGAAAGACCCTGTTAAGATTGTCTTTTAGAACTTACTCAAGACTCTCAAACCACCCAGAAACCCAGCCACTCATGCCCAAGGACCAGACAACCCCTACCCCAAGGTCCAAGGGGATTCAGTTTGGGGTGACCACTGCCGCCCCCAACTCCCCTGCTGTGCTTCTGCCCTGAAAAAACATTCCACAGTCGGGAAACTGAACCCATCCTGCAGTACAGCAATTACAATATTAAGCTAAGAAGTAGGAACGCTGGTGACCTGGTACTGTTCTTAGACGAGTCATCATCCCTCTCTGGGCCAAGTTAAGATATAAACAAGGTAAAGCAAGTTCCCGGGCCTCACCTTCCTAAGACCCTGCAAGCCTCCAGACTTAATACCATGGCCTTCCAGGACAGCGTTCTGCAGGCCAGGGGAAGCACAACCCAAAAGGCTAAGCATTCTGTTGGGACAGCCCAAGGGTTTCTCATTTGGCGCCTGGAGCCACAGGAGGAGCCTTGGAAGAACAGCCAGAGTCAAATCCTCATTCCTAACGCAGCAGGTACCCTGAATAAGCCCCAGGTGTGGAGGCCAGGACACACTCAGGTTCATATTCTAGCCTAGCATCGGCCAGCTGGATGACTTAACACAAGTTAGTTTGCGTGTCAGTTGTCTCATCTGTAAAATAAGGCTAACATCCCTCCCCCAAATGTAGCTATGAATCAAATGAGGGGAAGCCTGTGAAAGGGGGAGCATGGTTGGTCATTAATACAAGTCTATCCCAAGTCTATCCTGCTCCAAGAGCCACTTTTCTCCACAGATCATAAAATAATCTCCAAAACCAAAAAACCGAACCCACTGCCACTGAGTTGACTCTGACTCTTAGCCACCCTACAGTACAGAGAACTGCCCCATAGGGTTTCCAAGGAGCGGTTGGTGGATTTGAACTGCTGACCTTTGGGTTAGCAGCCGAGCTCTTAACCACTGTGCCACCAGGGCTCCTAAATAATCTCCAGGAGGCTGAAATTCAGACCCACTTTTCTGGTGGGGAAAAACAGGCACTGAGGGCTCCAGCGCCCTAGGACTTAACCCCTGTATGGTCCAATTTCCTGCCTGTAAAACAGAGATGATGATTCCTGGTGTCAAAAAGCTGTTTGTGAAAACCAAACGAAACAAAGAAAGTGTCACTTTCCATGCGTGTGATTTCATTTGGGTTTCACAGCTATTTGAGATCAATGAGACTCAAGAAGACGACGCGTCTCCACCAGGAAGGTACTGACAACGCCAGCTCCTCCGACTGGGAGTTCCGGGACTTTGCCACATTTCAACGTACCTCACTTGTTAACATGAAAGACCATCTTTAATGACAGAAATGACAAAACATGGCCCCTTCCCCAGGGTTGGGTCCCAGGAGGGTAAGGAGAATGGGGACAGGGACCCACCTCGGGGTCCCACGGAGGACACGCTGCTTCGGTGGGACCGCTCCGCGGGGCCGGGCTGCCCAGCACTGCCTTCTGTCCCGTCCATCTGCAGAGGGAGACGTGCAGTCGTTACCGGGGGTCCAGGGATGTGGCGGGCTGCTCAAGCTCTCACTGAAATAGGAAGCGGATTCCCGGGCTAGGTCTCTGAGACTGGACAACACTGACTGAAGAGACTGAGGATGCAAATTGGGGGTCCTCGGCCGACTCGGTGTCAAGGCCGGGCTGGTCGGGGGTCCAGGCTGTGACGGTCAGAAGCTGGGACTGAAACTCCGTGCGCGGGATGCCCAGGCGGGACATGGCGCACCCCGATACGGGGCGGGAGCCCGGGCAAGGAGGACGTCTCCGTGCTCTCACCTCGCAGGGACGCAGCGCCCGCCGACTCAGCCCAGGCCCCGGTCCTGACTCCGGCCCCAAGTCCGACTCCGGCCCCGCCACCGCCGATGCTCCCGTCCCAGCTCCGGTTTCTCAGGCCGCGCGCGACACGGAAGCCGCGGCCGGAGGACGCGCCGCGCTTACGGCCCCGCCTCCCCGGCCCGGAGAAGCCAGTCCGAGCCCGAGACGGTCGCGCACGCGCCCTACTGGGCGCCCGCGCACGCACTTGCCCCGCGGGCCGGCGCATGCCCAGAACAGCCCGGAGTCCCGCCTTGCAAATCTCGTGACACACCCAGGATGTCTGCGTTACGAGCCCCCCTCGCCAGTAGCCCGAGTGATGGAGGGCGAGTCGTCCGTTCCCCCCCCACGTATGTGACAGGGTGTAGCGAAGGTTTAAGAAAATTGAGAGTGTGGGCGCGAGTTTTGCCTCTCACTCGCCGTGTGATTTGGGGCCGGTGCTCTCACCTGTAGAATGGAGATACTTCCTCGGACGTGTCGGGGACACACTGTGCGATATGCTGGGTAAAGAGGGGACACAGGAAGCGGCTTGGTGCTGCAGCGCTGTGAGGGTGATGGGCTCCTCAGTGGGCAGGAGGCTGGGCTGGTCCCGACCCATCTGCACAGGTATCCCCCGTTTTGGGCCCCAGTTTTCTCATCTGCCGGAGGAGGTTACCCTCTAAGGGTCCTTCCCACTCTGAAGTTATGTGTGTGTTGGAATCCCAGGCCAGGCACACTCCTTCGTTTTCCCAGGGAGCAGTCACCTGGCGCCTGCTATCTTAGATACACAGCCTGAGACTTTGAGGCATTCTCAGGCTCGGGAGTGGTGATGGGGCCCCAAAGAGGCAGGTGTGAAACCGCCTATCCCTGTGGTCATGTCACCAACATGTCCTGGCAGCGCCAGCATGTGTGTGCCCGAGGTGTGGCTCTGGGAGACAAACAGGTCCATGGCGCCTCGCTGGGCCACAGAACCAGATGTTCCAACTGGCTCGGTGATGAGAAACGGGGAAGAGGGTTCAACTTCCCCAGATTCCCTGGGATTGGAGGGCAGTTCCAGCTCCTGACTGAGCCCAAGTTTCCTTAGTATTGGAAACAGTTCTTTGCCTGCCTTTCCAGGACCCAGGGGCTCACCGCCTTACAGGGTGTCTTTCTTATTCGCATCACCTAAGGACTCAGGAAGTTCTATGTGGGCTGGAGAGGAGAGTGTGCGGTGGGAACAGGCACATCCCTCCCATTTTTCAGCTCTGGAATTTCAGACCAGGACACCATGACCTCTGTGCCTCCCTAAACTAGAGCAAAGTGGGGACACAGTTAGGTGGTGGTGAAGTGTTTACTGTGTGCAGGATCTGTGCTAGGTCAGGGTACAGAGACCCAGGGAATACCCACCCCTGCCCTTAGAAAGATTATGTTAATGGTTTAATTGGTCAGTGTAGGGAAAGGAAAAAGAAAATTCCAAGAGAAAAGCATATTTAAAATTACATAAGACAGAAGAATCCCCTCAAGCTATGAAATAGTAAAAGCAGGAAGAGGAGGGGCCTCAGTTCCTGAGCACTTACTGTGTGCTGGATGCTGGGCTACCCTTTCACGTGTGTCAGCTTATGTTCTCGCCCTGGACCCTGTGAGTGGAAATAAGAGTAAGAGCAGCTACCGTTTGTTGACTTCGTGCTGTGTGCTAGACTCTGAGTGCTTTGATCCTTGTGATACGTTAAGTATTAGGCCTCTGTTTTATAGATAAGAAAACAGGTTCAGAAAGGTTGAATCACAAGGCTGAGAGCCAACCGATGCGTGTAGTTGTGGGGTTGGGTGGGGACTAGAACCCAGGTCTAGCTGAGTGAGGAGAGGCTCTGGGAGAGAGTCTCCAAGGCTGGGCATGGTGCTGGCTGATAGGGTGGGCATTCCCGGTAGCAGGATCTGCATAAGCATGGTTGGGACACTGGGAAAGCCTGGGGCACGTGAGAGTACAACAGGTGAGGCTGGGAAGGAGGGGTGGCATCCAGCGGCGGGGAGCCTGGAATGCCAGGGTAAGGGATTTGTGGTTGGTTTGGCAGGCAGTGAGGACGTTTCGGAGGTTGTGAGCTGGCCAGGTGGGATTTGCGGGAGGACTGGTGAAGAGCCAGCCGGTGGATGGGCTTTGCTTCTGCAAGGCTCTAGGTGAGTGACAGTGAGGTGAACTGGGGTGGGGTGGTGAGGTTGGAAAAGGAAGCTGGGGCCCGTTCTGAAGTGAGGGGCTGGGGGGACCACACGCCTGTAGAGCTGAGAGGCCTTGGACACAGCAATCGGCTGGGCTCGTCCCTACTTTGTATGCCAGCAGTAAAGGATCCCATGGCCCACAGAGGGTTTTGCTAAGGTCACCTGGGGGCGAGTGACAGAATCAGTACTGTAGCCCAACCTTTCGTGAGAGACCAGCAGTCAGCAAGGTCCTTGGGGCAGCCCGAAGGAGGTGATCGGAGGTTGGAGATGAGTCCCTGCCTCCTTGAACTTATCCAGACCCGAGAAAGTAGCAGGTTGGATGGATTCTACTTTGGCCACAGAGGGAGAGGGGAGAAGGGTGAGTAGACAGGACTGGTCCTTGGGCGTCCGATGGGAAACAGAGCTGCAGTGAGATCTGGGGTGGGGAGCCTGGGGGGTGCTAGGGGCCCTTTACTTTTTTTTTTTGGTCCTTTAGAGATGGGGAGCGAGAAGTGAGCCCCACGGCTGGCTGCGGGGCTGGCCACTAATACTGCTCTCTGACCCTTCCGTCCATCCATCATTCATTCATTGTCATTTGACTGATATTTCTTGAATGCCGACTTTGTCCCACAGAGTCCCTGGGTGACACAACCAGTTAAGCGCTTAGCTACTAGCTGAAAGGTTGGCCATTTGACACCACTCAGAGGTGTCTCGGAAGACAGGCCTGGTCATCTGCTTCCGAAAGATCACAGCCAAGAAAACCCTATGGAGGAGTTCTACTCTGTACACACAGGGTCGCCGTGAGTCGGAATCGACTGGGTGGAACTAAGAGCCATAACTGCCACGCGCTGTTCTGAGCCTTTGAGGTACATGAGTGAACAGAGCAGCCGGAGATCCCTGCCTTGACAGGCCAGTCAGTGACCTGGTGTGTCAGAAGGTGACAGGTGTAATGGAAGAAAGATAGCGCCACGGGAAGGAGCACCCAGCACCATGCTGGTAGGGTGGGCAGATGGCAGCGTTGACCAGGATGGTCAGGGCAGGCCTCCCTGAGAAGTGCCGTGTGCGCCAAGGCTCAGGTGAGGGAGAGTGTTCACGCAGAGGGAACAGCCAGTGCAAAGGCCTGAAGGCGCAGCATGTTTGAAGAAGAGTCAGGAGGTTAGGGTGGCTAGAGTAGAGGGCACAAGGGGGTGGTGGCAGGAGATGAGTCACAGGAGTGTGGGGCAGCATTCTGGGGGCTTGGAGATCTAGGAGGGACTTTGGTTTTGCTCTGAGCAGATGGGGCCATTGCAGGGATCTGGGCAGAGGAATCCTGGTCTGGTGTAGAGTTTAAGTGACCGCTCGGGCTGCGCTGCCTTGTGGAGAACAGACTGGAACGGGGGGCGGGGTGGAAGCAGGGAGGCTGGTTGGGTCAGTGGCGTCACTAGGGTTGGCATCACTCAGTGTGGTAACTCCTGGTGTCACCTCCCCCACCCCACGGACCTGCCCCCTTCCCAGATCACGCAGAATCCTTAGGAATGTTTTTTTGTGTTAATGTTAGTTGTTAGTCGCAAATCGTAATTCACGTATATCACTACTTCTTTTCCTTTAAGTTTCAGAGAAGTTACTGACACGGGTTCACGAATGCTAGTTACGATAATAATGGAGCTGTAACACCAGAAAATTTGACAAAATTAGTAAGTGTAAAAACACCAGCAGCAACGAGAACGAATGCTTGTAGTGTGGGCGTACATGACCACGTGATTTTAATTGTCGCTGTGATTGGGTAATAATGACTGCTCTGACCCAGAAGGTGTTAAAACAGAAAACGTGTTGCCATCCACTTGATTCCAACTCATAGCGACCCTCTGGGACAGAGTAGAACTGCCCCATAGGGTTTCCAAGGAGCGGCTGGTGGATTCAAACTGCTGACCTTTTGGTTAGCAGCTGAACTCTTAACCACTGCGCCACCAGGGCTCCATTAGGAGATCCAAAAACTAAATTAGTATAGAGTTTTAGTCATGTAGGTATACCGATACACGTAAGCTGGGCTTAGTGATACACGTAAGCAGGGCTTAAAAGCTACAGCAAGCTACGGCTGTGAACCAAAAGGTTGGCAGTTCGAGTCCACCAGCCGCTCTTTGGAAACCGTATGAGGCAGTTCTGCTCTGTCTCATAGGGTCGCTGTGAGCCGGAATCGACTCTATGGCAGCGGGTTTGGTTTTTTTTTGGTAGGCTGGGCTTATGAAAAATGTTTTTAACTAGCTACAGGGATATTTTTATAAAAATAATGAGTTCCTGCCGACACACTGCACAAAAACTTGATAGACAGTCATTTTGGTGTCACGCCCTCTGACAGTGTCACCCAGTGTGGTTTGCACCCCTGTAGTGACGCCACTGGGTTGGGGCAGTGATCCAAGTGGAAATGATGATGGGTCGGGCCACAGTGGTAGCAGTGAAGGAGGCGAGAAGGGGTGGCTTCTCATCTGTTTGGATGATGATGAGATTTTCTGATAGACTGGGGTGGGACGCGAGAGAGAGGCACCGAGGGTCGGCTTCTGTAGGGCAGCGGCGCCTTGAAAGAAGACCCACCCCAGCTCTTCTCGCCGGCCTTCCCCTTCCCACTGGTGTCCGGGGAGGGAGGTTCCTGTCCCTGCCCTGTTGGTTTGGGTTGTTGTCCGAGGAGAAACGGGCAGCCACAGCCCAGCCACCCCCAGGCCCGCAGACACACCAGCGTTTATACCATCCTGGGAAAGGGGCGAGCCCTGGTGGCGCAGTGGTTAAGCACTTGACTGCTAACCGAAAGCTTGGCGGTTCAAACCCGCCAGCAGCTCCGAGGGAGAAAGAAAGATGTGGCAGTAAAGAGTACAGCCTTGGAAACCCTATGGGGCAGTTCTCCTCTGTCCTGTGAGGTCACTCAGAGTCAGAAGTGACTCCTCCACTGACCCCAGTGGGTTTGGTTTGGGAGAGGTGCAGGGAGGAGAGGCCCCAGGAGAGCTGTGTTTGTGACTCACACTCAGAGTCATAAACAGCCGCAGGGGGAGCAGACAGGCCCCGAGCCCCTGGTGAGTCACTGCCAGGAGCCTGTTCCTCTCTGGTCCCCCCTTCTCAGCGCCTTGGTGCCACAGGTGACTGCGGGTTGAGGCTGCCCCCTGGTGGCCATGGTTCCGACGGCCTCGCTGCCTGTCCTGGGGCGGGCAGCCTGGTGCGTTTCTGTGGGGACGAATGGGAGTTTTGGCTGGGCTAACGGGCTACCAGTTTACCAGTTGCCGTTGAGTCAGCATAGGTCAGAGTAGAACTGTGCGCCGTAGGGTTCTCGATGGCTGATTTTTTAGAAGTAAGATCGCCAGGCCTTTCTTCTGACGGACCGACCCCTGGGTGGACTTGAACTTCTGATCTTTGGCTTAGCAGTCAAGCACATTGAGTGTTTGTTCTACCTATGGACTTATTAAACACTTGCTGACTGGAGGCAGCCCTGGAGCTGGGGCCTGGTTGCCCTCCCTGGCCCAGCATGGCCGCTGTCGGCCGGGTGGGGAGATCAGGCCACTGCGAGCCCATTGTTCCTGCCCCGTGCACCTCCTCCGGTTTAGTTTGTCAGGGTCACCGAGGTTGGTGCTCTCCCATTTCCTGGCTGCCCAAGGTCTGGGCACTGGGCCACTTCTCACCCCTACACCCAGAGTTAAACATTAGTGGGAGGCTATCAGGCCGGGTCTGGGGGAGGGAGAGGGCTGAAGTCAACTTTCTCCAGCTTCTCCTGGCCCTGGAGCCTCCAGTTCCCGCCCTGTGCTCAGGACAATGCCTGTGGAAGAGTTTGTGGCTGGCTGGATCTCCGGTGAGACAGTTTCCTTCCTTCTGTCACGTCAGCCCCAAGGGTGGGGTGACATCTGAGCAAATGAGGCCAAAGTCCTGGTTCCCCTGGAGCAGCCCAGAGCCAGCTATCCTGGGGAGCTCCTGGGGGTCATTGTGGGGAGGAGAGGAAGGCATGGGGTTGGGGGTTGGGGGTAGGGTGGGGGTGCTGCTTCTGTAGTTCACTGCCCAGCACCTGACACCTGCGGAGGCCTCAGGCCCCCTGAGCTGCAGCCCTGCTCTCCAGGCCCTGCTCTCCCACCTGGCCTGCTGTGGGGCTCGGGTCAAGTTCACCCTTGACCTCACCTGCTGTCCTGAGTTCCCATTTGGGCCTCTTCCCTATCTGGCAGTGGGCCACTATCCCTGGCCCTGTGGCCTGCTTTGCTTCCCGACCCAAGCCAGCTGGGTGATACCCCTCTTAGAAGGAATGGGAAATTCTGAAATGAAGGGTAGGGGCGGGGGAGGAGAGGTGGCAGGGCCTGCTTGGGGTCAAGGCCTGGCACTTGCTGACAGTATCAGTTGAGGAAGGAAGGAGCAAAGCTGGTAGGGGCAGGGGAGTTGAAAATTGGAGAGTCGTTCTGCAGTCCCACAGCCACATGACCCAGGGGGGCCCGGGTATCTGCCCAGCTGAGGACACATGGCTCTGGGTGGGCTCTTCCCTCTTGGGTTAGGCCTCCAGGCAGGACTCAGGAGGTCTCACTCCCTTTGACCGTGCACCTTCCAAGTGCAGTGCCTGGTGTGAGGTGGGTCCCATGGGGATGCGGCAGCTGGATCTTCTCTGGAGTCTGGCAGGAAGGTGGGCCACAGGTGTCTGCGCAGCCCAGCCCCTTCCCTCCTGCCTGAATTCCTCTTTACTCAGCCTGGAATGAGTATCCTCACTCATAGCACCTTCTTGTCACCGTAGGAGCTCTGGGCCTGATCCTGGGACACCCCTTTGACACTATAAAGGTGGGTCAGGGGAAGGCCCCAGGGGAGCTTCCCTGCCCTGAGCCTCGGGGGCCCTGGGGTCAGGGCCTGGCTGGCTGAGAGCAGGGAGAGCGCTGGCCCACCACCTTGCGCGTCTGTCCCCCCTCCAGGTGCGGCTGCAGTCACAAAACAAGTACCGGGGCATCTTGGACTGCGCAGTGCAGACCTACCAGCATGAGTCGGTGCGGGACCACTTCTTTGCGGTGGGAGGTGGCGAGGCAGGCGGTGCCAGCTGTCTCCTCCTCTCCGGCAGGGCTCTGCCCCTGGAAAGGAGAAGACCCGATCTGGGGCCACGGGGAGGAGAGAGGGTGGGTGGTGACTTCGTGCCCAAGGGTGGGCTTCCTTGCCCTCAGCCTGCCCTCTCCTGCAGCCAGAGGAGGCCCTGCCAGGCAGGAGCGAGCAAAGGGGAGCCTGGCACCCCGCCCCCTCCTGCATCGCCGTGTCTCTGCAGATCCTGGGCTTCTTCAAGGGAATGAGCTTCCCCATCGTGAGCATAGCCATAGTCAACTCCGTACTGTTCGGCATCTACAGCAACGTCCTGCTGGTGCTGACGTCCACCACCCACCAGGAGCGGCGGTCTCAGCCTCCCAGCTACACGAACGTCTTCATAGCTGGCTGCACTGGGGGGTTTGTGCAGGTAAGGAGCGCTCACGCGCAGGCAGGCACGCGCTTGTGCGCGCACACATGAGTGCAGCGGTAGCCTTGCCCTCTGGCGGCCCCACAGCTGCGGAAGGCAGGCCGCCCAGCGGGGACGGGGAGGAGCTGTGGAGAACTGGCTGCTCCCATCCACCTGGTCGAGCAGGTTGCCAGCCTCAAGGGCAGGGATGTGGAGAAAAGGGGGGGCCAAACCCCAAGAAAGCTCAGATGGGGCGGGTGTGAATGACATCAGCCAGGGCCCACCTCTGCAGGGGCCTGCCTGCCCCACAGTTATGGGAAGACCTCTCCCGCAGGTGACCTTTGACCCCCGGGAACTGACAGCCTCGGTTGTAAACTTTCATCCCCGCCAGAGCTTGGGGCCACCCCGTCGCCTTGGTGCCTAGCTCAGCCCCTGTCCTGCAATGTCTGGGTGGCCACGACCTGTGAGCCCTCACCTGGGCCTGGCACCACCTGTGGGAGAGGCCGAGTTATTAATCATTGAGTGACTCCGGTCGTTTGTTTTTGGTCTTTGTTGTCGCTGCTTCAGGCCGTGGGCTTTGGGAGGGTGGTGGAGGGAAGAGGGGTCTCCAAGTACTAGAGGGAACCTGAGCCGAGTGGGGAGCCCGAGTGGGCAGAGGAGCACCGGCCCGGCTCCGTCCCACTCCCCACAGGTTCCTTCGTGACCGTTGACTTGGTCCTGATGCTCCTGATACGCTTGATGGGGCCAAGTGCAGGGACAAAGAACAAAGTCAGCCTGCCCATTCAAATGAATTAATGATTAACGAGACCCCCAAAAGTGTGGTTTCTCTTTTGTGCCTTTTTCCGGGGAGGCATGGTGCAAAACAAAACAACAAAGACACGCGGCCCCCAAATGATCACGCTCACCTTGGCCGGGGCCTCCATTCTCCCCTAAGCTCCGGCATCTTATCTTGACCCGAACCCCTGACCGCCCCCAACCTCCATCCACAGCCCCCCAGCACCGACCCTCACTTGGGGCCAGTCCCACTACTGTCCCACAGCTGGGTCCACCTGCCTCGGCCGATGGATGGGAGTCCTGGGACCCACGGAATCCCACCTGTCACCCGGCTTCCCACGCTCGCAAGTCTCTGTGCTGGGACACTTGGGAGGTGGTGGGCTTGCCCCCTCTGGGCCTCAGAGGCAGCCTGCAGAAGGCCATCGTTAGAAGCGTGCCGACCAGGTGACCTCCTTCAGTGTGGGGCAGGGTCAGTCCTGTGCTGTGACTCATAGTCCCAAGCCACATTCTTTGTTCTGACCTGCTCACTGCAAACGCATGCTCGCCCCTGGCGTTAGGGGGACTAGGAACTTGCCCCCGTCCTGGGAAGATACCCCTGCGTGTCTCGTGTGCCCGCTGCGAGCCCGGTGAGCGTAGTGCTGTTGCATGATGAGGGGGCAGTGTCACTCGCTGTCCCCGTGCCTGATGCTAAGGGGGGTGGCCGATCCCCACTGCATCAGAATGCCCTGACCTGTCCCAGGGTGAGGCCCAGCTGTGAGAGCAAGAGGCTGAGTGTGGCCGTAGGGGCTGGCATCCTCCTGCAGGGAAACGCCGCTCCTCTCGGCCACCTCCTTCTCCTCGTTAATGCAAGCGGACCGTGACTAGGGCCTTTGCGTTTCTTCCCTGCAGGCCTACTTTCTGGCTCCTTTTGACCTCGTTAAAGTCCGGCTGCAAAACCAGACGGAGCCGAGGGCACAGCTGGGGAGCCTGCAGCCGCGGTACCGGGGGCCCCTACACTGCGTGTCCTCCATCCTCCGGAAGGAGGGGCCCCAGGGGCTGCTCCGAGGGTCTGGCACCCTGATGCTGAGGGACACCCCCACGCTGGGCATCTACTTCGTCACCTATGAATGGCTCTGCCGCCAGTACACGCCGAAGGGCCAGAATCCCAGTAAGTCAGGTGGGCCGAGAGGTAGGGATGGTGGTGGGGAGTAGGGAGCTGGGCCCAGGCAGGGGCGCTGGGGCGGGATGAGAGGCCTGGGGAAGACGCTCCGTTCTAATGTCTGACCCTGGCCTCGTGCCCTGGCTTCTCTCACCCAGGTTCAGCCACGGTGCTGGTGGCAGGGGGCTGTGCTGGCATTGCCTCCTGGGTCGCAGCCACGCCCTTGGATGTGATCAAGTGCCGCATGCAGATGGCTGGGCTGAAGGGGCAGGTGTACCACGGAGTGCTGGACTGCATGGTGAGCAGCGCCCGGCAGGAGGGGCCTGGAGTCTTCTTCCGGGGACTCACCATCAACAGCGCCCGCGCCTTCCCCGTGAACGCCGTCACCTTCCTCAGCTACGAGTACCTCCTCCGCTGCTGGTGATGAGCCTGGCCGGGCCCTGCCAGCCCCCCCCACCAAGCCTGCCACCTGCTGCTGCCACCTGACGTCAGGTTGAAAGCTCCCAGCTTGCAATGCAAATGCCGGAGACTCAGCCCATTGTCCCCTCCACCTCGGCCCATCAAGGGACATCCCACACACTGGACTGGGGCTGGGTGATGGTGGTGGACACAGGCAGACTAGGGCCTGGACTCAACTGGAATCCAGAGCTGGTCACAGACCCCCCACAGCACTGGCCTCCGTTCCTTTGCTGCTTGCGTCCGTCATCGAAGCGGAGACAACAAAGCACAAACAAATTAGCCAAAAAATGGTGCCGGCGACCTTCCAGCCCCCTCCCCCACGTAAAAGCACCATTACCTCCTGTGCTCTGTCAGACATGGAGTCCTGGGATTTTGCCTCTTAAAAAGCTCTTTCAGCCTCCCCTCTGCGGTCTCCACGCCTGTCACTCCGTCACACCTTCTCTACCTCTGCCTGTTAACTTTGTTACCCTAGTCTACCTGGCCACTAAGTGGGGCCTCTCTTTGGCTGTGGCGGTTTCCCGTGAGTGGCCTAAGTTCACATTCACCCGGCTCAGACTCGGCTCAGCCCCCTGAATCGTGCTGGAGACGTCTGGGATCACCCAGAACCCCCGTCCCTCTCATCCGTTGTCACAGCGTAGCAACTGGGCATGTGGCTGCGGGCAAGGCTGAGTTTCCCAGTCTCTTTTGCAGCCGGGTGGAGCTCTGTGGTTAGGTTCTTCTCAGAGAAATGTGAGCAGAATTGCCCATCACTTGCTTAAAAGGAAGAGTCCTCACTGTTGGCTGGAAATGGTGACCACTGGAGGATGGTGAGGGTGCCGGAAGCACCCTGCTGGCCCGGGAACCTGGGAGCACAGCCCACCTACCCACCCTAGCCTGTTGTGAGGTCTCTGTTACTGCAGTCCAGCCTCCACCGTAACTAACGCAGTGGGTGAGGGCCTGCAAGTTTCTAAGCAGTAATCCAAGCGTGGTTCATGGACCCGCAGCATCAGTACCTTTTGGAGCTGTCAGGCCCCACCCAGACCTACCCAGTTTCTGAATCTCTGAGAATGACGGCCCAAAATCTGTGTTGCAAAAAGCTCTCCCGTTGATTTTTATGTATGCTAAAGCTTTAGATAAACAGTGTTCTGCCTCAAAAAGTTAAACAGAGTTACCAGATGACCAAGCAATTCCATGCTTAGGTATATACTCAAAAGAATTGAAAACAGGTATTCTAGCAGATACTTGTACACCAGTGTTCATAGCAGCACTGTTCACAAGAGCCAAAAATGGAAACGACTCAAATTCATCATTGGAGAACTGAATAAACAAAATGTGGCGTAGCCATCCATAAAAGGGAGTGAAGTCCTGAGATGCGTTACTATATGGGTAAACCTTGAAAATGTTATGCAAAAGGCCACGTGTCGTATGATCCCATTTCTATGAAATGTCCAGAATAGGTAACTCCATAGAAACAAAGTGGGTCAGTGGTTGCCAGGGGTTGAAAGCTGCCAGGAGGGAATGGGAACTGCTTTATGGGTACGGAGTCTCCTCTGGGGACGAGGAAAAGGTTCTGGAACTAGATAGAGATGGTGGTTGCACAACAGTGAGAATGCATTAAATGCCACTAAATTGTTCACTTTAAGATGGTTAATTTTATGTGAATTTCACCTCAAAATGGTGTTCTGTTGTTAGGTGCTGTCCAGTTGGTTCCAACTCACAGGGACCCTGTGTACAACAGAACGAAACACCGCCCAGTCCTCTCCTCTCACAGTCGTTGCTATGCTTGAAACCATTGTGCAGCCACTCTGTCAGTCCATCTCATTGAGGGTCGTCGTCTTTCTCCCTGACCCTCTACGAAGCATGATGTCCTTCTCCAGGAACTGATCCCTCCTGATAACATGTCATAAGCATGTGAGACGTAGTCTAGCAATCCTTGCTTCTAAGGAGCATTTCTGCTCGTACTTTGAAGACAGATTTGTTCGTTCTTTTGGCAGTCCGTGGTATATTCAATATTCTTCACCAACACCACAATTCAAAGGTGTCAGCTCTTTTTCGGTCTTATTCATCATCCAACTTTTGCATGTATATGAGGTGATTGAAAACACCGTGGCTTGCATCAGGCGCACCTTAGTGTTCAAGGTGATATCTTTGCTTTTCAATATTTTAAAGAGGTTTTTTGCAGCAGATTTGCCCAATGCAATGCGTCATTTCTTGACTGCTGCTTCCATGGGTGTTGATTGTGGATCCAAGTAAAATCCTTGACAACTTCAATCTTTTCTCCATTTATCATGATGGTGCTTATTGGTCCAGCTGTGAGGATTTTTGTTGTATGTTGAGGTGTAATCCATACTGGAGGCTGTGGTCTTTGATCTTCATCAGTAAGTGCTTCAAGTCCTCACTTTCAGCAAGCAAGGTTGTCTCATCTGCATATCGCAGATTGTTAATGAGTCTTCCTCCAACTCTGATGCTTCATTCTTCATATAGTCTAGATTCTCAGATTATTTGCTCAGCATATAGATTGAACACGTATGGTGAAAGGATACAATCCTGACACCTTTCCCGACTTTAAACCACGCAGTTTCCCCTTCTGTTCAAACGACTGCCTCGATCTATGTAGTTTCGTTATGCGCACAGCTAAGTGTTCTGGAATTCCCATTCTTTGCAATGTTGCCCATAATTTGTTATGATCCACACAGTCGAATGCCTTTGCATAGTCAATAAAACACAGGTAAACATCTTTCTGGTTTTCTCTGCTTTCAGCCATGATCCATCTGACATCAGCAATGATATCCCTGGTTGCACGTCCTCTTCTGAATCCAGCTTGAATTTCTGGTACTTCCCTGTTGATGTACTAGTGCAGCCACTTTTGAATGATCTTCAGCAAAATTTACTTGCATGTGATATTAATGATACTGTTCAATAATTTCCCCATTTGGTTGGATCACCTTTCTTGGGAATAGGCGTAAATATGGATCTCTCTTCCAGTTGGTTGGCCAGGTAGCTGTCTTCCAAATTTTTTTTTATTATTGTTGTAGTTTAAGTGAAGTTCACATTTCAAGTTAGTTTCCTGTACAAAAATTTGTACATTTTTTTGTTAGATTGTTAACCATTGTCAGTAGGGCAACGTGTAGTAACTGCTAAATGAGAAACTATTTTGTTCTGTAAGCCTTCATCTTAAGTGAGAATAGCAGCACAGTTCAGTGAACTGAACTGTGCCTGTAGAAATTTTTGAAATGGTGTATCTTTGGCTATGTGTATTTTCACCAAAAAAAAAAAAGGTTGAGAAGATAGAGGGTTGACATGTTGTGGGGTTGTTAACCAATGTCATAAAACAACATATGTACTACTGTTTCATGAGAAACTATTTGTTCTGTAAGCCTTCACCTGAAGTACAATAAGAAAAAAAATTGTACATTTTATTATGTGACCATAATTGCTCTCCCCTTACTGTGACAGCACACTCCTCCTTTCCACCCAATTCCCCATGTCCATTCAACCAGCTCCTAACCCTCTCTGCCTTCCCATCTCATCTCCCGAGAGAAGCTGCCCGTTTAGTCTCTTGTATCTACTTGAGCTAAGAGGCACACTGCTCATGAGTTATCACTTTATGTCCCACAGT